ATGTGAAATTATGAATGTGCATGACTTGTAACTGAGAGTTGATAGTTGCGACCAATTGCGAGACTGTCTATCGAATTGTAATTATAAAAGATCTGAACTGAAGTGCCCTCTGTCTCCAGTTATGGAGATTGGGAAATACAGGACCATCATCAAACACAGAGGCAAACCCAATGAGAATGCTACATGTGGCAATAGTCTGCAAAAGGGACATTATGCCAAGGGATGTACGAATGACAAAGCTTGTAGAGAGTGTAAACAACCCGGCTATGTGATAGCAAGTTGGGCTAACGAGGATCAGTTATCAGTGATACAGATGATGAGGAAAAATTAACCGACAGTAGCTCTAGTAATGATGAGGATAACGATAACGATAACGAGGATAACGATGAAGCCTACACTAGCCCTCCCATCGGATCTACGGCTTTCACGGACATTTTCATAGCAGCATCGGAGTCGGCACCTCAAACACAAACCGATGGTAACAAATCTAATTAAAATAATAATAAGAAAGCAACAAGAAAAATGTCACAAGGAGGTAAGAATACTCGCGGCCAGGCTCAGGTGAAGCAAAGTGTGCTAGACAATTTCATGAAAGGTACTCCTTCACAAAAATTAAGCTACCTGAGTGCTGTTGTCCGCTCTCCACCTGATGACATTAATCAAAACGCAAAGAAACAATGTGCTAAAAATAGAACAAACTCCTTGATTCTGTCGAAAGTTTATTCTCAATGAATTGAAGAAAAATATTTAAAAGTGGAAAGCGATCATATAATATATGTATAAATTTCTATGATATATATGGAATGTACGCTCATCTCCTATTGGTGTCTACATAGTAGATATATTTACATATACTTATATATATATATATAGAGAGATGATATTCTTGTAATACAATTACTTTTCCTGTCAACTTCCAGGTAATAATAAGTACAAGTTCATGATTTTGATCTGCAAAATAGTGAAATATGCCTGTTGCTTTTAGTTATACTAAAATGTATAGATCTGAAAAAGGTAAAGGTGGAAAAGGTATGGTTAAACGCTAAGAATTTTTATACAACTGTCAGTGTGACTGGCATGAACAAGATACATGTATGTATGTTATGCAACTTTAAGTGTTTGAAACACTATGAATATGCAAGTGGCGTTGTAAAAGTGCATGTGTGTATATCAAACAAATCAATATATAATATTTTTGTATTGGTTAATATGCATCCACAATATGTTTATGTGAGAAAAATATGTATTCAATTCTACATAACTAATTGATAACTCACTATCTTGACATAATAGCTATAGATAAAACTGCTCGTCATTATATTATAACAATATTTTCCATATGCTATCAAACAATACCCTGGCAATATATAAAGTTAACCTAAACAAGACATATATTATATTTTACAACCATTCAACTGGTGCTTTAACCAATATATAGAAAATGGGCATATAAGGTAACTGTAATAAAAGAAAATAATATATTTGCTTATGCACAAAAAATCAACCAAAAAGCCAGAAAAGTTTCAGGACTCAACTTATAACACGTCCTTCTCACATTTCTGTATGTAACAGAGTCTCATGACGTATCTGTTCGTTCTGTAGTCACAAATCTGTCTCGGTCGGTAAGATTTGCTTCTCAAATCTCCAGATGTAGTAGTTTCTCTGAAATCTGGAACTAAGATAGTTACTTCTCTAGTATTACCATATGAAAGCTCTTTCTGTAATCTTAATTTTGAAAAGTTTCTTCTATAGACCAACAATGTTTTCGATTGTTCTTCTGTATAACATATTATTATTAATTATATGCTCATTTCAGAGCCGTTTTATTATCCAACATAATGAAAAATAGTATAGTATTATATAGCAGTCTTTTATCCTTTGATAATGCATTGAATTTAATCAATTGGTCTCTACATCGAGTCCATCAGAGTTGTGAGTTAATCATATGAAGGCGCAATGACGTACACGTACTAAATAACATCGGTTAGAATGAGCTCCCCTGTTGTAGAAGCTGAACATGATTTTTTAATTATTTTTAATTGAATAGTTTCTATTAATTAATTTAATAAAGCACTCCGTGTACGTTACGGCAGCCTTATCAATGTACCATGGCTCTTTTCGGCCGTTGTATTGGTACAGAAACAAACAAATAAGGTTTTATAACAACTTTCCTTTCATTTCATTATGTACCAATCCTGGTACACAATGATATGAATTTTCATACCATTGTGTACCATAGAAAAGTGTACCATGGTACACAATGATATGAAAAATCAATTCATTTTGTCTGGCTCTTGTCCGCCATCGTAGTAATGAATTGTAAGGTAATCGGTAATTAACTGGGTACATAACTGTCAATCATGATTTTCAAAAAGAGATATGCACGCCATGTTGAAGGAAATCGTGGAATTGTCTGTTTGTATTCAGTATCTCAATATTACAATGCAAGTGATTGATTGTATACGAGTTCCTTCCCTTTGACTTTATGCCAGTCAGGAGAATCCCATAATGCACATTCTCGTCCCAATCGGACGGAAACAAATTTGAATCTCGATCAGCTGTTGAGCACACACACTTGGTTTCTCCCTTCAGCAATAATCTTTTCGCCTACTCATTTACCAACCTTACCGTTGCTATTTGAAACCGTCGAGGACATACAGGAGGAAATTGGTCAAATTACAACGATTTCCACCAACGAAGTGTTGTCTTGTTCTATTTAATTTCCCAACCGGTCATCACGCCGTCTAAGGCTGAATTTCCTTGCTTTGCTGACACACTGATTGGTGTGGATCCGCACATACAATGTTTTGAAAACGTTTGGAAGTAAGTATGTACATACGAAAGGTTATATGATACTGTGCATTTAATTGATCGTCTTTCCATGATATGTCGTTTTAAATGATATAAGCTTATTTCACCAATTATGAGGGACATATAAATGTGTTTCTCAGTTTTAAGATACTATTCAATATCCACATTTTAAACAATGTGACCCATATAAAACCATAAACATTAAACAGTAAAAAAATCGAAATACATAAACTGAATTGCGTATAAAGCCATTTGTAACTAGTGACAAACGAATTAAAACAAAATGCACGAAATGATGTTCATCCCTTTGATGTCGTAACCCTTCGCATCATCATCTTTGTGCTTTTTAGTGAAACGGTAGTCCAGGAGTTCCATCTGATCCCCGTATCAGAGCTCCTGCCTATTAAATACAACCCATTAAGATTGGACTGATAACATCTTCCGTTTCCGAAAGCGGCCTTCGTTATTTATTTTTCCGACATTCTCAAGTCAAAAAAATTGTTACCCACCATATGTACAACATATGTTGATTATTTATATCTTACCTAAACAATTGTAAGGGATGTCTGTTTCGCGTCTACCTCAGTGTCCATACGAATATAATTAGCAAGGTGACTCAGATACTCTTTGTATTTTAATTAGGCTGTTCTTTTGCGCGTGCAAGCGTTCCTCACGTTATATGTTTTCAGTTCATAACAAGCTGCGCGTTTTTATCGTTTCTGGGCAGTTGTCTATTTAACCTTGATATATTTTGAAAGTACTTTTCATTTTCAATCACCATTTTGTGTAAAACATTACACACTGACGTCACGCTTTATACTAGATGTATATTTCAACCGATAAAAACAACCAATCTATCGACATTGCTCGTCAAAACTTAAAATCGGCATTTACCAGTTTACAAACACTATTTCAAGTCATCTTCGCGTTAAGTTCGGTGGAACATTGTAACCGTGAGATTTGTAGAATGAAAGAATTCATAGAGGATCAACAGAAAAAATATTTTTGGCTGCTACCAATTTTTCGAAAACATACGTAATTAAATGCATGTATTTTTCATTTGACGAAGGAAATCAGCTCCGTTACTTTTTGGGAGCGAATTGGTGTGCTGGGAAATATTACAGTGTCGTTACATCAAAGACGTGGTCGAATACGTAATTATGGACTTTAGTGATAGTGAAGATGATATGATGCGAACCTAAGAATATGATATTGACGGAAGTGATGCAGAGATCAATAATACTTTGCGAGGTTCATATATATTTGCCATCACAACAGTCCATAATTGTATAACACACGTTCTATATGAACTATATATAACGTATACATTTATTCAATGTTTTTAATTAGACGGTTTTGGTGTCAGTTTTTCTGCCATGAGTTACTTCAGGTTTATGTGTTATAAAAGTGTAGATGATTTGCTAAAGGCTATTTTAAGAAATCAATATTCACCAGCAAACCAGTCTTCATGACTTATGTTAGAACTTGTCACGTGTATAGGGTCTGGCCGATGCGTTTGTGAGATTATATCAAGTAATAACTTAGTTTAACTTAGTTTATTCTGAACGTAGATATACTGCCGCTATATTCAGATCATAGTCCATATTTATTTGATCATACTAAATAACAATGTTTTTCATGTGACGTCACTCTAATGTTGTTGTAATTCTTCTTTCATCCATTTCCCGAAATTTATCAATGCGGTTAATCATATAAATATATAAAATAATATTTTCTACACTTATCAAACCAATCCTAAGCAATCTATCACTAAAACAACTGATTGTAATCGGGTTGTATATGTTTAAATCAAATTGTGATAAACATAATGCAGTTCCAAGACGGTATGTCATATTGGATATTGGCTTGTTATAAACAACATCCATTCTCTATCAGATACAGGTTGTTCAAACATATATGACGTTATCGACCAAGTTGCAAAAGGATATTGATTTCTAAGTCATTGATTTCGGGAGGGAATACAAACTAGGATTCAATGGATTTAATCAATCATATCTCTTTGTCGCCATCTTAAGCAAACGTAGACATATCAGACTAATTTAGTTACCTTCATCTCCTGAATAGCCCGATATATCCAATCGATAGCTATCAGTGGCATTTCCTATGGCGAACCTTTGGTATTTGGCATAGAAAGGGATGTTTTGAAAATCTTCCATATCAATTCTCAGTTCAGTATCTTCTGCTGACGTAAGAGCGTGTATTTGTTTATTTCCTGACAAAGGAAATGTGAAGATAGAGCTAATGTTAAGACATCGCATGAGTACGTAGTTCAACATTTCAAATGTTGTATATTTTCTGCACATATATATTTTCAATAACAAGCAGATAACTATTTGTATTTTCTTGCGACAGCGGCAACGACTGATATTTATTTACAGTTAAACACTATAGTGCTGTTCCTGTACACAGAAGTAATCAACTTTCTATATCTTAAGTTTCAATAAATATGACTTAGCTCTCTAGTTATCTGTGTCACAATAATGACAAATAAACAATGTAGGTAATCGCTCTACAACTAGTATGCACGTGCAAAGTCTGCGCGATGACGCTACCTATTGTTGTGATGTTGTTAAAGAAAAATATATCATAACAACAACTATATCTCTTCTTTTATTTTAATAGTGTTTCTATAAATTTGTTGATGTGGTTATCTAGCATTACAGAAAAAGCAATGCCTATGTTGATCTTAGTAAACCTTACCTAACCAAAACTCATGGGTAACGTCACCAAAGCCGTCTCTGTATTCGTCCCATCCTCTGTAGAAGTCAGTGGCGCCATCTATACGTCTCTGGAATACCTGTACAATGCCACATAGTATGAAAAAAATGTGTTACGTACCTGGTGTCCGTGACGTCATCATGGTTATTAATTGTGTTACATATTTACCCTAACTACATGTACTCGAGTAATCGGCCCAGCATGGTTTAGTTTTTGCGGGAATGATATGTCTCAATTCAATTCAACTTTATTCTCTTTCACAATACAATGTATAGAAAACATATTTACAATATAATATATAGTAATTGTAGTGTTCGTAGTCGATAGTACACAGTCCTGTTTCATAATAAATGCACATTTGGAACAAGGAGGACAAGTATTGTTATTAATTATTCTGATAAAAGTACAAAGTTTTTTCAGTGTTTTTATATAAGTAGTATTCATTAATACATAGAACTTATTTACATTTGGTCCATTCCAAAAAATATTTATCTATATATAAAATGCTATACCCAGACAGTGACGGACACTCAAGCAAGTAATGGAAATTGTCACCAATATGCTGACTGTAACAGTGTGGACATTTTCTTTCATTATAATCAATAACATGCCATCTGCCGGTTTCAACAATACATTTGTGATTGGTAGTCTTAAATTTACAAAATGTAACTCTATCTGTGTCACTAAAAATATCTAAGTAACTTTCAAAATGACAATTATTTTTAAAAATACTATAACATGTAACTTTTGATGAAGTGTGCACATCACTCTGCCATTTCTGTAAATACTGGTCGTGCAATCTTTGTTTAATAACATGCTTTAGCCATGTGGAATTACATTCTGTAGTATATTGAACATTCCATAAGTAACTCATACCACATTCATTTAAAATGTGTAGTATATGTTGAAACTTCACATCTTGACTGCCAAAGTGTACAGTAATTGATTTGTTTGGAGCCTGCAAAGACTATAAATATTACTCATCTCGGTAAACTGTTTGTCCGCGGATAGCTTGATGAGTGTCTGTTACAGTTACCAGTATTCAGGTTTATAAAACCATTTTTCTTTTAGAAATATATTTCATTTGTTTATAACGACTTCCATACAATTTTGGTAACAACTATTATATCTTAATCTTTATTTCAACAAAGGAGATTTTGTTTAAGTAATGTATAAAGAGAAAAAAATAAACTATATAACAGGCACACTCATTGTCAGTTTATAAGAATTTAATAAGTACCATGAAGCGTAAGTATATCTCTGTCTACTGTTTTACCTACCGTCCAGCCTCCACCATCTGTGTCCATGTCACACCAGACCGGGGTCCTGTCCGTTCCTGTCACAGATATATTATACACTCCAATCTGCGTGCTCCCTGTTTCCAACAATGCTAGACAGTCTCTCTGGAGGCCTACATGCTCATAAATAACACAAATAATGCATTTACATAATGTAATTGTCTTCCATTTTTGTTTTCAAAATACGCAACCAGAAGACTTAAGAATATTTAAAATATTCTTAAACTTAAATACTAATTTAAACATAAATCTACTCTTACCCGATATCGACATGTTCTTGTTCTTTAACAGAGAATATGTTTCCTGTATTTCGGCTGCTATGTACGCCAATTTAGATGACAAACGTGATAACATCTCCTCCTTCTCTGAGTTGATACATCCGGAATCCGACATTCCATTATCACAATTACACACCAAGAGGATAAAAAACAAACGCTGATTCAGCTTGGAGACATTCATATTGGTCTATTATAATAAATTGCCAACACACTAATAATTTGCTGATAGAGACAACTGTTCGGAATCAGCAATAATGCTGGGGTGCAGCCCAAACCAATGCACCCGTTAACGTCATGCTTATCTGAATGATTTCGCAATATATTTTGTCCTTGCGTGACCTTGACGTCTACGAAAGCGTAACCGATATCACATCTGACGATATAATTGCACGACAAACGATTCAGCCATTTGTTTAAACGGCAGACCAGGAAGTAGCGAATATTCATATACCGTAACCAATTTACCTGTATAGCAATTACTTGATAAATAAAACCTTCAAATTCCAGTAACGTAGCTAAATATAGGTTTGTGTTGCGTTTCCTTTTGTGCGCGAAACTATAGCAGTGCGGCGGCCGGTTGGGGATCCAATTTCTGTTTGGTTTTTAGGGGAACATGTCGACACCAGTTATCTTAAATGCACAAATCAAAATTCTGATATAATTCCAATATCACCTAATTTTTTCGCTCATTATATTCATAAGATATTGACACTAAACTTACCTAAACGATAGCAGACTAGATTAGATGGCACCGTCTGGTATGTCTGGGGTATGACTATGTGACGTAAATATATGTTGAGAAGACCACGTTTGAAGGTATGTAGAAATTCCCTGTGTAAAAGCTATTCGCATGATATAAGAACATTATAATTTAATGAAACAACTAGTTACATATCTGCAGTCTTATCAAAATATAACACAACGAAATGGACAAAACATTTAATGACGAGTACGTCATATTTTGCAAACCTTAATTTCTGGCGCTACATGGAGCCATTATCGACTAAATCCATAATAACTCATTCGTTCATTCATATCTTTATTCCTCCAAACATACTTATCTGGATGAGTACATCTCCGTTCGCAGCATTCCCATTCAAATTGAAAAAAAAAAAACACCATGTTATGTATTTCCTACCATGGAAACGGGTTCATGAACTGAATAAAACCAATAAGAAATCAGGTCTGAGTGCTATATATGTAATTTGGAGGCATATAAGAACTGAAGAGTAGCCTCCCTTTAAACATCTTTTAAGATATGAAAAATTGTTTTCGGTAGTTTTACCAATCAAGCATAACAAATCATATTTATCAGGACTGATCATCCTTATACCTCTACATGTAATTGTAATGACCTTATTTCAGCCTCACAATAAATTTTGTTTTTCAAAAACTAACTGAAGCATTCTTTGGAAATAAAAATAATAATAAAGCATTTAATTTATTATATCCCCCCCC